GCAAAGGATATACCAATTAGAAAATGCAACTAACATCTCCAAATCCGATTTCTCCCCCCTCAGTTTTTGCTGAGACATCAACTGCATCTTCCTTTCAGGCTGTATCTTTCCATTGCATATTTTTGAACGTGATTTTCGCAACAACAAAAAATCACCTATGTGGGAATGACATGACTCTGGAAAGCCTAATGATATCATTTAAATACACTTCATGAAGCGCTCGATGAAAAAAGTGCGTCCATGTTCTCAGGCATTTCGGAATTTCCATTTTTGGCGGAGAAATTTGAATTCTTCTGCATATTTTGCATAAGGCGTATCAGCCAAGTCATGATGAACCGAGAACCAAGGGCAAGAGCGAGCGACGATCTTTATATTACCTCTACCGCCTCAAAAAGGTCCTGTATTCGTATGTGAATAACGAGAGTGAACACCATCACGCAGTACAGGCAAAATATCTGGTAAGAGAGTGGGAACAGAAACATCTTAGAAAGGGAGAAAAAAAATACACTCATCTACTTGTGTTCGTCTTGCAAATCATATCTTCGTCCAAAAACGAAAAAAAAAACATCCTTATGATGAGGAAAACGGAACGCAATGGTAGACTTCCAAAAATACTACACGTAACAGTGGACACGATTTTTCTACTTGTTTTATTTCTCGCAATGGACGTGCTGTTAGGTCTGACACTTGTCAGAAGAAACGTCGCTCCGCATTCCGGATTCGCCTCGGATACCTCCCAATAGTGGAAATGAGAAAGTGAGTTTCCAGCAACAATCTTTGTAGCGAGAATTACACCCACGCACATCATGCTTTCACGCGAATGTCTTCAGGAGTCTTCAGGAGAAATCGGGAGTGATACGACAGGGGAAATCTTTGCGCACGCTGGACCCTCCTTTGGCGACGCGTTCCATCTGCCCCCAATCCAAATTTCCAGGAAAACTATCAGCGCCTGCAGAATTGAACGGACAGGTAAGTGAAAGGACAGGTGAATGAACGGACATTGGATTGAACGGATAGGTGAATGAACGGACATTGGATTGAACGGATAGGTGAATGAACTGAGAGGATTGAATCATAGGTTTGGAGTGGATCGGAACATCGGAATCCACGTAATTGCAAGGGGATCGAGCGTGTTTGCTCACCGTCACGAAGCACATGCCAGCAAATACTAAGGAAGTTGTGGAGAAACTAGAAACGTCGTAAACTGCTCCTGACGTGCTCGAACCCACGACTTCTCTGAATAGGGGAGAAAAAGATGAAATACGTATACTCAACAAAAAGAAGGAAAAGCCTTCCATTACACTGACAGACTATCTTTGAAGGCAGGGTAACATGTGAAAAACGAAACGTTTCTCCTCCGAAAAGCAACCGTCATTGCCATGAATTACTGGTTTGATGAATATTCATCAAGTGTGTTGTAAGAAGGCGATGAGTATGGTTTTTCGACAAATAAATTCACGTTTTTTTTCCTTTGTTACCTTACCTTCGAAAACAGTCTATGCATATTTGATGGAGTAAAATGATCACCCGAGAGTGAACATGGAGTTCCAAATCCCGGCCATGAGAGTCGCAGTTCCGATGCTGTCCTGGTATCCGGCTAATCTAGATTCCCATCCGGATGGTATTTAGTACAAATCGCGGTTAAGGCTGCGAGAGGGGAATTGGGAATGAATACCTGATTTCGTCATTCATGATTCCATACGTGGGAATAAAGGTGAAGGCCATGCTGATTCCGATCAGAGCCAGTGACCCTATGAGAAATCCCAGTGTCCTATCATATACGAAATTGCAAAAAAGTGGTTTAAAAAAATAATTGGCTCTGTCAACGTTACATAATCATATCACCTCGGAATTTGGAGAAATGAAACGGGTCCGAGGAACAGAAATCCCAAGACGTCTACCAACAAGGCGAGCCCCAACTCGACTTTTAGCCACTTCGGGTAGCGGTCGCTGATATAACCGGCGAAGATCCCGGTTATACTATATGAACATGTAAGAACCACGTAGAGGAGAGCCGTGTCGGTTTCGGACATTCCAAACTGAAACACCAGAATGAAGCAGGAGTTTTATTGGTCTGTCAGTGAACATTTCTCAATGATGTTTTTAAAATATGCATGTAGGATATGGGAGAACGTGAGTTACTAAAGTACTGGGATCAAGTTATTTCTATTGTTATTATTGCGTGGAAAATGGGTAATAAACATGGAACTACACTTCCCTCAATGTCAAATATGATGTTTAATGACTTTTTCATGATTACTGCGGAACTGACCGGAAAAGTACTCAAGAGTGATGACGGGCAATGGAACTCACAGCATCCTGCACATGTGGCTGCAGAATGGGATAAAAGGAGCCCCATGCTGCCGAGATGAGAACGATAGCAATGCATATGACCCAAAAGCCGAAGCTGAGTAGTAAGGTCTTAATCCGCGGAAGTTTCACGGAATGAAAGTCCATTGCTGTGGCGAAGAGAGAGGCACAATTTTAGAGCATGTTCGGCGCAAAGATCGAGGACCGATTCCCTCGTACCTGAACTGGATGGCAGGGCTTTGAAGGAGAGGAGAGAGAGGAAGATCATGACAGATCCCAAGACGAAGAACGGTAGCTTGAATCCACCCAACTGTGAGCGGAAGGGACCATCCAACGATACTCAGAAGGGATGTCTATTCGAGAGTCCATAAGCTTCCGGGTGACTTACGTTGAAGAATACTCCGCCTATCACGGGTCCTAGTGACAATCCGACGGCGGTGCAGATCTCCAAGGACGCCTGGAATGTGGGGAATTGGTTTCACGGGCTTTCGGGCAGTTTTTCGTTTTTAAGAAGTTGACTACCATGCCACGTCAATTCCCGAGTTTTTTTGTAAATTTAATACAGTCACATGTTGACGAATTCGACCGACACTGGCCCCATGGCAGATGTCTTCATGCCGCGAAACGAGAATCCTATAATCAATTTTCACTCAAAATTTGGAATAAGACTCATTCCATGTAATCGTTTGGAAAAGAAGTTCGCCTATCAGCATGAATGCATGGCAGTCAACTTGTCGGGTGTCACGTGAGGTGCTGGTCTTACGAGAAGAATTCCCTTTGATTTCGGGAAGAAGTTGACGATGATCCCGAAGATGGTCGTGGAATAGAAAACGTATCCAAGCCCTTGGAGGATCCGAAGCAAGAAGGAGGCAGTGGTGAACCATATTCGGGTTCCTATTGAATCGAGGAATCTGTATTGTGGGAAAAAAGAATCGCCTTTGATCAGTTCCGTTTCAGTTTGCCGTTTAACTTTTTCCGCTCACTTCGGCTCGGAGCGATATCAATGTCATGTTAAAGGAAATTAAAGTTTTTGACAACGAGACCAAAGAAAATGATAAGAATTCATGCATCCTCTTAGGTATTTAATGTGTTCGTGAGTCATTAAGGATTTCCGATCAAAGTGATGAAATGTTAGTGAAGGCAAGTTTTTTCTTGTGAATTTATTAATCTCCTCAAAAAAAAAAAAAAAATATCAGCTCTCCAGCACCAACTGTTCTGGAGATATTCTGGCCCTAAATTCGTTTCTCGCAAAAAATGTGACCTCAAGGGGCCAACCGTAAGTAAAACGATGTCACATGTTACTTTCGTTTGGCCCTAAAAATAATTCATGAATAATACACATAAAACACTTTAACTTCATGGAATTTTGCCACCAAGGAAAATGTTTTCACTGAAGGCTCCCGTTTCAGACGATTTAATCTATGGGTTCGCACCGCTTTGCGCCGTTGTTCTGAGCTTTGCGAGTTGATTTACCCAAAGGGCAAATGAAGTTGATAATCAAAATAAACTTCAACCAAATGGATAGACATTGAACATCTTGGTAAATTTTGTTTAATGGGTTGTATTTCCTGGGTTTCTTTCAATCCAGCGAAACAAGCAAATCACACGTGCTGAAATATCTCGCAATATTTTGCATATTTCGAAATGAGATATGCACCGCTGCTGATCTCGTGCAAGGGAAATACCTTTTTTCGCGGCGACCTTTTCAGATGCAATTTTTTTTTTACCTCTGGAAATTTAACCTGTCCATTTGGTGGTGAAAAAAAACCATTCGTTGATGGACGAAAAAGAAAAAAAGTGAATTTACAATTAAATCAAGCACTCATGTATCTTTCCAGCACTTTACTTTTGGCGTAACCTTCGATGCGGTAACTTTTCCTTTTTTGATGTATGGGCCATGATGCAATCATGATGCGGCACTGTCGTGTTGAGTTAAGTTAAGCAAACTTAACAATATTCCAAAAATAGCGCGCCATAGTGCGAAAAAACGAAGAAGAGAAAAAGTGGAATTCCCTCATGGGAATTTCTATGACTCTTCAGCAGAGTCGCATGAAAAAAAAATTCCTGAAAGAATTTCCGAGCGATTTCTGCACTATGCAAAAATGACAAATCAATCATTCCTATGATTTGTGTAATGAAGACTAAAACAGGATGTTTTCACCAGCCGATGAATAGCACTGATGTCGAATGAAAAAAAAACACTGATTTTAAACTGCAGATTTCTTCATCTTTCCATGGAACGTTTGAGCTGTGAGGTCGACGTTTCCGATGGAATTCGGGAAGAGAGGACACTGAGTGCAAAGATGGTCGGATCGTGCGCAACGGATGGTGCTCGAAGCGGGAAGCGTGCTGCGGGGTAAAAAACGCGGTTTTATCTCGACCGAATGGAATGATGGGGTGGTTCGTATGCGTTCGGTTTGACGAATAGGCGTTACGCGTCCGACGCCTCATCGGGATTTTGTTTGTAGCAATGCGAGTAGGGGTTCACCCCCTTTCCTATGCGACATTTCATCATTGTTGCTCAAGTACTTCTTAGAAATCCGGTGAAATCATGCTTGCAACATATATATTTGCTGATGTACATCAACTGGGAATTACAACTTCACGAAGGCACATTGTGAAAACAACCATCTTATATATTTTTAAGTAAAATTTCTGCCGGAGGTGACGGAAGTGACATCAAGCAAATGTTAATTGTTCTCAACCTGAATTTCCCTGTTTTCCCATGTTAGTCTCAATTTAGCTAGCATGCCTGCATTGAGATCAAATTTCAAATATAATGTTTGCCACTATTTGCCTCATCGCATAGTTACTCATCATGGAATTATGAATTAAATTACCTCTCGGAATTACCCATCAAAACCATGGAACAGGGCCAAGGGAGTCGACGGAATTCGTAGTTAAACGGAAAATCAAAATTGATTTTCGACTCACCCGAATGATAAACAGGCCCCTCCGGAGAGCAATGTCCCGCCGAAGATTGCCCTGTTCAGGCCAATATGCGGAAGCTGAAACATGTATTTCCTCCGTTCCACGTGTTTCTTAAACTCCTATTGTTTTCACATTCCTTCACGAAGAGGTTAAGGAGGGGAACTCACGTATTCCCCGACGATCGGTCCCAAGAGGAATGCGACCAGAGAAAAAACCCCGACGATCAGACCAGTCGTTGTGCTGCTGACGCCCTTCCTCTCCGCCTATCGGAGTAGCACTTGGATTAACCTGCTCGATTTTATGAAAGATGCTGATGCATGAACTTACAGTAGCGGGGAAAAACGGAACTATGATGGAGAAGGAGGCGAATCCGAATAGGGCGACGAGGCCACCATAGAGGAGCAGGCCTCGTTCCCTCCAAGTGGATTTTCGACAAAATTCGAAGCATCCATGCTCTTCCTCCTTGTTCTCATCGTGCTGCTCCTCCATTGTTTCGCTGACATTTCCGGGGTTCTTGCCCAGATCATCATCCATTGCTAAGAATAAGAACTAGGGGGTAAGGGCATAAGGGAAAAATTAGGGACTTAGGGCAAGGGAATCAGTTTCTTTCTGAAGACGCGCTTCATACACTGGCAATTTTCGGATTTTTCACATCTCTCTTAAGACCTGTTTCTAATAATTTATAGATGTATCAACCTGGGGTTTTTATATCCACCTGTTTTCCCGAGGGACTTAGTAGTAGTTGGGATCAGATATATCCAATCCAACTGATCACAACGCATCTTGAAAGAATCTCAAGTGCACCTTTCTGTCTTTCATTGGATCAAGAAATACTTGGGAAACTTTTTTTTATAATTTGCCCTCAGTGGTTTTACTATCAAACTGCAATTTTCAAATTGAAATTAGCACTCGGGAAACTACATGCCTACCATGTTTCAGCCAAATCGGACATTGGCGAGCTCAGTGTTAAATTGCACGAAATTGCACGAAATTCCTTTTCTTCACCCATGTTGACACAACCGATAGGGTGCCAAGGATATTCTAGGGCCAATTGAAACCGGCAGGCTTTCTGCATATGACAGTGCCCAAGAAAGCGCATGAACGGCCTTGAGGTCGTTGGAAGTCCGTTGAAAGAGGTTTTCGGACGTCCAGCGTACACGGATGAGCCCCTTTTGAGCCTCCCATTAAGGTGCCGTTTCATCACGAAATATCCATTTGTTGGATGGTGAAGATTCCTCAGGAAGAATCCTCAGGAGGATTCCTCAGGAGATTTCCTCAGGATTATCTTGCATCTGGCAACGGCTTGGACCAAAGGTTCGGACAACCGACGCAGCATGATGTCAGAGTAGCCGGTATAGGGGATCGATTCCTGATCCAGGAGGAATTATTACCCAATACCTTCCACACGGTAGCTGATCTTTCTCCACATAAACTATAGGGAAAGATATGTAAATTCTTCGACGAATCGGTCTTTAGAGGTAACCCCGTCCAAGGAGCCCCCAGAAAACTCTGGCAAGAATGATAGAGGGGGAATGGTTTTAGTTTCAATTTCAATTTCTTCACGGAAGAAAATAAACGAAAGGGAAAATGTGAATGTGCGCTTCATCATTCCTATGAAAATGGATTCTCTTGGAGGGCGTATCTGACTTTCAGTGAATATGAGACAATTTTGATGAATCTATAACACACATCTCTTCACCCAGAGAGGGAAGATTCCGAACTGTCCGGGCACATGATGGCCTCTGGCCACGGGAGCAGGGCTTTAGGTGGACAGAATACAATGAAAGTGATGAAATGCATGATTTGCATATTGGATGATTCCTGGAAAGAAAAAGTTCCTTGATCCCTTTTTTTTTGGAAATCTCCACTTGAAGTCCCTGATAAATCCGCGTCTTTCAGAGAACACCTTATTCGAAAATGTTTTTGATTGCTCTATATTTCTGACATTCAAGCAGTCAATGGAACGTTCCCAAGTACGTTCATGGAACGTTGGCAATGCCTTGAATGCAACGTTCATTGAACACGTTTGGATCCTACTTGTGTTCCTGAAGATCACGGTGACTCCTTCCACGACCATTGAGCGCTTCGTTTCCTCCGGTTTGCAGCAGGTTGACCTGCTGCTAGTTAACGGATATCGATTGCTTTTGGACGATATATGAGGTATATGCTGAGAACAGTCAGCATTAAATCGCCACCGACGTCGGCAGCGTCGCCATTGCAGCGCATAATTCATGAAAATCCTCTCCCAACTTCCTCATCGTGCAGCTCAATATGGGAACAGAGACACGAGAAGGGGGCGTCGGATCCTTTGGAGTCGACTGTGTGGGAGCACGCACCGGACGCGGTGTGCCGTGAGCGGATGCACGTGTTTTGGAATATCCATTTTTGAATGAAGTGGTCGATGGGAACGACGTACTCGTTCCGGGAATTTGGATGGCGAAGATCGTTTCATTTACGAAATTCGCCAAAATGCTAGGTGCTTCCACCCGGGTGTCGCCAATTTTGATACTCTCATGCTGCACACGTTTCTCGTGACGTAACACTGATTGTAACCCCGATTTAGTATCCTAAAACCGCCAGAAGACGAAAGCGAAGAAAGCGAGAGCTGTAAGTTTCTGTTTCGACATGGCAGTTCCATCAAACGGGAATATCGAATACTAGCCCGCCTTCGGCGCTGGAATACCTTGGATAGCGATTAATTCATTTATTTTTTGCGAAATGGCAAACACGTACTTGAAGTACATCCCATTGGAATGCGTGACATAAGGGGGCGAAAGTCTTCATTTTTATCAAAATCATTACTTCTATTATTTCTAGTGTGCCGAACTTGAAATCTTTTCATGTGTCCCTTTTTGTAAGGGTGGAGAATACCTTTTGAAATACTTCCCTCCAATAATCTACGCAATGGAAACATTTTTCAAAAGTAGGATTTTTCCTGTACTCAGCCATTAAACAAGTACTTCTGAGGGAAGTATAAATTTTCTGTCTCTGTTTTGTTGGATCAAAAAAAAAAAAAATCAGGAAAATGGGACTTTTTGGCGAAAAAAATTGTTTTCCTCTGAAATGGAGACTCAGGGAACTCCATGCCATCCAATTTCAGCTTCACACGTTTCCCCTTTGTGAATTAGCGTCAGTCTGTCACTATCGTCAATATATATTAGAAAAGTAGAATTTTTTCTTTACGCATCTATCCATCAGTTACTTATTTGCCAAGTTTTTTACATTAATTTTCATGGGCTCTCTGTTTCGTTGGATCAGAAAATTCGTGAAAATACGCCTTTTCAAAATATGTTCCCTGAGCCGTTTTAGCCGAAACGTACCATTTTTTTCTTACCGAAATCCATCCTCAGTGAACTACATGCCCACAACGTTTCAATATTACCCGTTTGCCCTTTTCGCTGGTGAAAAAACATGTTTGGAAAAGCCGACCCACCCTAACCCTATGCCCGGAGGGGATGCACCATAAAAGCTGAAGATCCCCTCAGCTCAGTAATATCATGTCACTTATATGTGTGCCAAGTTTCACCTTTCCATTTCTGTCCAATTCGCCACGACAAAATTTTTTTTCTTCAAAACATTGCCTCTCGAAGAAGTTCCCCCAGGGGATGTATCGAGGCTTAACATTTTTATATAACTGCTTGTCTCAGTAGTCACATTCATGCAAAGTTTCAGCTTTCCATGTTCATCAGTTTAACTGANACAATTAGTTGAAAACATCTCCGTTTGAAATTTGTGCCCCCGGGGCATTTACTTCCAAAGTCCGAAGTCTTATGGAGCATCCCAATAGGTAGTTATGTACCAAGTTTCATCTTTCCACACTAGCTCAATACGCCAGGACAAAAAAAAATACTTCAAAACGTCGGCGCGAAAAAATATGCCCCAGGGCATGGATCTAAAATTTTTTCTCTTTTCCTGAACTCATCGTCTCAGTTCATGCTAAGTTTCAGCTTTCCACGTCTCTCCGTTTTACCCAAGCAAAAATTATGTTATGCAGAGGGAATGAGTATCGGGACATGGAAGGCCAAAAGGCCAAACGAAAGCAGGGAATGGCAGGGAATTGAACCCTATTCTTCCGATTGCCAGTCAGACATGCTATTACTACTCCACCGGACCCAGCACATCCAGTTGATTTTCTAAATGCCATCCTCATCTGTCACAAAATATATTTAAGGAAAACGTTTCCCCCAAAAATGTGTACCCCCAAGGGGCATGTACCTCCAAAGTCGGATTTTTCTGAACTCTGCACCCCAAAAGGTACATGTGTACCAAGTTTCAGATTTTCAACCTTTCTGAAACATGGTTAGAATTAGCGTCAGTCAGTCAGTCAGTCAGTCACGATCGTCTATATATATTACAGTATTTGGGAACCTGCAATTACAATACGAAAAATTTTGTACTTACGATTCACCCTCAATACTGCACGAGGCAGCGACGGCGTCACTGTTTCGCCTTCGACGACGACGATTCGTGTCCCGGTTGGTTCCTCGCGTTGTGCACGTGCGATGGATTCTGGTCCTTCGTCCGGAGCGAGTCGAAAGGATGATGATTTCATCTCGACGAACTCGGCGGGTTCGCCGTGACATTTCGGAAATAAAAAAGGGCGTGGGATAGCATCTGATGATCCTGCATTCCGGGACGCCATTCGCGGTCGGAAAAGGGAGAACACCCAGGATCAGCTGTAGGGATTGTCACGAGCATCCTAAAGGATTCATGGTTGATGCTTCCCTTCACACTGAAATATGCTTGTGGCGAGATGGAAAATCTTGGATGTTCGCATGGTAAAAAAAAAGGACGTCTAAGGTCTTCTGTGCATCCTTCCCATGGCAGACACTTCTCGTCAAGGGTTCAAACCCCTCCACCCTCCCCTTAATAGAGAGTTTTGGTTACCCGTTCTTGAGAGGACGGCAAGGAATGTAGGACGGCTGACGTCACCAGTGACGTCACCAGCAGTTTGAAAACGCGTGAGGAAGACGTCTAAGACGTGGAGGGCCTCTTCCAGCCGTTCTCTCAGGAACGTGATCGCGACGCAAGGTCCACCAATCAGGAACGTGATCGCGACGCAAGGTCCACCAATCAGGAACGTGATCGCGACGCAAGGTCCACCAATCAGGAACGACTCGATAGGCGCAACCTCGTGATTCGTTCAAGTCAGTTTTCCAGGAAGGAATGCTCATATTGATGGCGAAGCAGCTGAAATTCAAGGCACGGTATGCCCAGGTTGGATTTCTAGACAATTATCTCGCATCCACAACTTGGGTTTTAGCCAAACATCCCCCAGAACAGCAACTGACATGTCTTCTTCCCCATCAGAGGAGTAAGAAACAACCCAGACTTCGGTCACTTTGCCATGAGAGACGGACAGAAAGGAAGCATAATATGTTATTGGGGATGGTGAATGGTTGCAAAATATTGAAGGAGGAACTCTGGTAGCAGCCAGGGGTTGCAATGTCTGCATGCGACCATGATGAACAGAGGAAGGAATCAAGGACGTTGGTCCAAAATGGGCAAACTGAGGCGTTCATTCCTGAAATGAAAAACCCTTCTTAAGGAAGGAAAATTTAATTGCAGCAGGTGAAAACGAGGGAGAAATGAATAGCATTTAGATATCTGGGGATTTGTGGGTTTACCAGGCTGTACCTGTTAGCTGTGTATCGCTGAATCGACCATACCCTTAAATTACGTGTCGTTCGAAGATCTCGAACTTGAACGACCGGTAATGCGTTCGCGTCCCCGTCCTCAAAAACGCGTGACCAAAGCTCTCTAATGATGGTCGTTCACGGCCTGAACGGGTGTCTGAACGGGCATCGGCGGGACAGGGGTCAACGACAAAGCAGGGCCTTTTTCCAAGTCTCTTCGCTGCTGGGTATGGCGTTCGGTGAGGATTACCCCGTCCATCACCTTTCTCTTATTCTGAATGTCTCCACCAGGGTCTTCCACCAGGGATGACTCAAGAGGGCGGCGAACATAGCGGAAGGACGAGTGCAACAATCGCAGGTCATCGATGCATAC